TATTTTTTTCAAACGCACCCCTGCTTATTTTTCGCAACAGGCCATAATTAAGGCCCCCGTCACCACCGACTAAAGATCCCAGGAAGCTTTCGAAGGCCCCAAATCATCGAACACCTCAGGGAAATGTATGGTTTTGTGGTTTCCGCATTTCCCCTTTTATACGCTTCCGAGGCTTGCGCAGGGACTCCGAAAGGTCGTTCGATGCACAAGGCATTTCGACAATTGAGATTTCATGCGTTAGCCTGTCGAGCCTAGCCAGAACTTGAGTGCATGCGAGGCGCGCGATGGTTCTTGTATATATATATATATATACATGATTGAAGCACATGAACTCCTATACGACGACTCTCCGCCTCTCACGTTCTGAAAGGTTCCATGCGTGGAACTAAACAGTAGAGAAACCAAACAGACATAAAACTAGATGCTGGTTGGTTGTTATGGTTATTTTGTTTTTCATCTAACAGCGAAGACTGATAGCTTTCTGGTGGGCTCCAAAGAGAGCATCATGACTCCCCAGGGGGGTCTGGGCGGATGGATGCCGGGGAGAATCCGGGGACTCCCCGGGACTCCCCAGGGGGGTCTGGGCGGGTGCCGGGGAGGATCCGGGGACTCCGCAGAACACAATTCCCAGGCCACATTTTGAATGCCCGGAGCCAACTGTAGGCCACTTCGTGTTCTTCGTGTTCCCAGAACACCATTCCCAGGCCACATTTTGAATGCCCGGAGCCAACTGTAGGCTACTTCGTGTTCTTCGTGTTCCCAGAACACCATTCCCAGGCCACATTTTGAATGCCCGGAGCCAGCGGTAGGCCACTTTGTGTTCTTCGTGTACCCAGAACACCATTCCCAGGCCACATTTTGAATGTCCGGAGCCAACGGTAGGCCACTTCGTGTTCTTCGCGTTCCCAGAACACCATTCCTGTACCATATTTTGATTGCCCGGAGCCAACGGTAGGCCACTTCGTGATCTTCGTGTTCCCAGAACACCAGTCCTGTGCCATATTTTGAATGCCCGAGCTGAGGCAGGCTGAGGCCGAGGCAGGCTGAGGCCGAGGCAGGCTGAGGCTGAGGCTGAGGCACGCCGAGGCAGGCTGAGGCTGAGGCTGAGGCAGGCTGAGGCTGAGGCAGGCTGAGGCTGAGGCTGACGCAGGCTGAGGCCGAGGCAGGCTGAGGCTGAGGCTGAGGCAGGCTGAGGCTGAGGCAGGCTGAGGCTGAGGCAGGCTGAGGCTGAGGCTGAGGCAGGCTGGCTGAGGCAGGCTGAGGCTGAGGCTGAGGCTGATGCAGGCTGAGGCTGAGGCTGAGGCTGAGGCCGAGGCTGAAGGCTGAGGCTGAGGCTGCAGGCTGAGGCTGAGGCTGAGGCAGGCTGAGGCTGAGGCTGAGGCAGGCTGAGGCTGAGGAGGCTGAGGCTGAGGCTGAGGCTGAGGCAGGCTGAGGCTGAGGCTGAGGCGAGGCTGAGGCTGAGGCTGAGGCTGAGGCTGAGGCTGAGGCTGAGGCTGAGGCTGAGGCTGCAGGCTGAGGCTGAGGCTGAGGCTGGCTGGCTGAGGCTGAGGCTGAGGCTGAGAGGCTGAGACTGAGGCTGAGGCTGAGGATGAGGCCGAACAGGCCGAAGCTGAGACAAGGTGAGGCTGAAGGGGGGGGGGGGAATGGGGGGGGAGGAGGGGAGGCTGAGGCAGGCTGAGGCCGAGGCAGGCTGAGGCCGAGGCAGGCTGAGGCTGAGGCTGAGGCAAGCCGAGGCAGGCTGAGGCTGAGGCTGAGGCTGAGGCTGAGGCTGAGGCAGGCTGAGGCTGAGGCTGACGCAGGCTGAGGCCGAGGCAGGCTGAGGCTGAGGCCGAGGCAGGCTGAGGCTGAGGCTGAGGCTGAGGCAAGCCGAGGCAGGCTGAGGCTGAGGCTGAGGCTGAGGCTGAGGCAGGCTGAGGCTGATGCAGGCTGAGGCTGAGGCTGACGCAGGCTGAGGCCGAGGCAGGCTGAGGCTGAGGCTCAGGTAGGCTGAGGCTGAGACCGAGGCAGGCTGAGGCTGAGGCTGAGGCAAGCCGAGGCAGGCTGAGGCTGAGGCTGAAACTGAGGCAGGCTGATGCATCCGTAGGAATCCATAGGAATCCTCAGGAATCCGTAGGCATCCTTAGGAATCCGTAGGCAGAGTTAAGCATCCTCAGGAATCCTTAGGAATCCTTAGGAATCCCTAGGAATCAGGATTCCCAAGGATTCCTAAGGTTTCCTAAGGATTCATATGGATTCCTACGGATGCCTAAGGATGCCTTAGGAATCCCTAGGAATCCTTAGGATTCCATTGGATCCTCAGGCCGTTGCCACTGCGACTGCCATTGCGAATGCGACTGCGACTGCGAGAACAGCAGAATTTGGCCAGGTGAGCAGCAGAAAAACCAGACCAGCCAGAACAACAAGAATCTGGTTTTCTTGCTTTTCTGGCTCCGCGCGGCTCAGCCAGAAAAGCCAGACGCCCCCCCCCCCCCTGGAGGCCCCAAAGCTGGCCCAAGAGGCTCCCAGAGCGCCCAAGGCTGTCTGGAAGATGATCCGCAGCCACTCTGGCGCAAGGCCCAGGGTCATCCCCTTGACTCGGAGCCTTCCGGGGAAGCCCGAGAACTTCCCGGGCGCTGCCCGCACCTCCGCCCCGCTGACGTGATGGCCGCGGCCCAGGCCGTCGCCGGCCCTCGCGCCTGGTGCCGCGTCGCCGGCACGCACGTGCACCTGGGCTTCCAGGCGGCATGCGGTGCAAAGGTGGGGCCCTGCGGGATAGGGCCCTGAGCATAGAGAGGGGTCCAAGGTCGGATTTGCTCCGCCAGAGGTTCCTCGTCCAGAGGGCCGAATGCCTCAGGGCCCCACCTTTGAACCACCGGCAGGCGCCCTGCGGCCCCGGGAAGCCGGGGCCTCCGCTCAGCTCGGGCTGCTGCTCCCCATGCCTGGGGGGCCTGGCCTGCGAGTCCGAGCGGCCCACCGCCCTGCCGCTGAGCTACTGCGGAGGCGCGGCGCCCGACAGGCTCACCTTCCAGTCGGACGCGGCCTGGGGCGCGCCGCAGGTGGAGCCGCCGGGGCGGTGGACCGTCGGCTCCGAGGTGGGCGCTGCTGAGCTGATGGGCGGCGGCGAGGATAGCCTCAGCGACGGCGAGGACGACGACGCGGACGGCGGGGACGAGGGCTTCCCGTCGAAGATCTTGGTGTACCCCAGCACGGACGACGAGGGCGAGGGCGAGCCCCAGCTCAAGGCCGCGAGGGAGCTCTGGCCCCGCCGCGCGCCGCCGCCGCGGCGCCGCCTCGCCCGCACCCCCGCCGCCCTGGCGCTGGCGGCGCTGCCCGGCCCTTGCGCCCGGGCGGGGGCCATCCTGGGCACGCTCCCCCGCGAGACCCGCCAGGCTGCGCCGCCGCCAGCGGCGCCACGGCGCCCGCTGGGCATCCACGCCCCCGTGGCGGCTCCCGCGGCGACGGGGGGGGCACCGCCGCTGCGAGTCCCGCGCGTCTCGGCCGCTGCCGCGGCGGCCACCGGTGCCGCGGTGGCCAGTGCCCCCACGCATCGGGAGGCCCAGGACCAGGAGGTTGCCCACGAGGGGGGGGCAAGCCGGAGGGATCGGCGCGAAAGTCGGCCCCAGATCACATCCTTGGTGGTGCGCAACTTACACGTCCGCACGTCTCAGCAGGAGTTCCTCGACGAGGTCAACCGCAGTGGCTTCGTGGACAAGTACGATTTCGCATACATCCCAAGGAGCTTCAAAGACGGCTCCGGGAAAGGCAACGGCTTCATCAATTGGCAGGCATTCTTCACCCAGCGGAGTGGCAGTTTCTATGGGCTCAACGTAACCGGATACGCTTCGGGCCCCTCAAGCTGCTATCTCGTGCGTGTTCCACACTGCAGATCGACTGGTATTCCGCCACCGCTTTCAAAGCTGGTGCGCGCAAGTTTGCATTTACCATACGGCCTGAACATCTTGCCGATGCTGGTCGTGATGCTTATCCGGCCCTCTGTGCACGAGTTCGGGTGCAAGCACGGCTTCATGACTTACGTGATTTTCTTCGTTTTGCCCTTGCTCGCAGCGAAGCACAACGGCGGCCCAAAGATTTCGGCGGTCTGTTCAACGGTCTCACCGAGAACCGCGACGCCCGTGAACATCTTTACGCTGCACAACTACATTACGGAGGGCCTGCCCTCACCTCTGCAGGTTTGTGGACACGGCTTCATATTTCACGCATCCCTTACCACGGGGGCGATGAATTCTGTGTACGATGCGGCACTGCAGTGGAAACTACCGAGCATCGTCTTTGGCATTGTCCTTGCAATCGCGACGTTCGTGCGTGGCTTGATCAACAAGTTCCTGGTAACCAGTTTCCTGCCGGTCTTCCTCCTTGCCTTGCACGTTGTGGGCTTATCCCAGCTGACCTTCCTGCTGGTCTCACACTTCACAATGCTATATATGTTTCACAATATCTTCTGCGTGTGAATGCTATTGCCACTCTGGCCGTGGCGGCCCACCGCGCGGGCAAACCAGTCCTACTGGAGCTGGATCAACCCCGGGCGCAACCAACCGAGGATATATACCGTGCTGCTCTACCTCCTCTTCGTCGTATCAAACGCCATGCAGGAGGACGGGGCCCTGGAGGAGGAGGAGGCGGAGGAGCACCTCGAGGACTCCACCTGCCTCCTCAGCCTGCTCCTGGTTCATTCCAGGCGCCGGACATCATCACGCTCTCCTGCGACGGCTCCGCGCAGGTGTCCGACGAGGAAACGACCTCTGGCTGGGGCTTCACAGTGGCCATGCCGGCTTCGACCGGCTTATTGGATTTCTGTGGCCCTTCCGTCTTGGTTCCCGACCAACCGGGTTACATCGGTGCTCAACGTCATACTAACAATGTTGGTGAATTATCAGCGTTATTTTTCTCTCTGTCATGGGTGGTTGATTTCATTACATCATCACCTTCTTCACCATCGTTTGTCATCGAGTATGACTCGGAGTACGCGGCTGGCGTGGCGCAGCGGCACCTCCGAGGGCGGGCGAATATTCAGCTTGTTCTGCGGCTTCGCCATCTCTATGATCAAGTTGCTCGTCATGTTGTCTTCAGGAAGGTGGAGAGCCACACTGGGCAATTTCTGAACGAGCGTGCTGATCACTTGGCCGACTGTGGTGCCTGTGGGATCCTACGTAACCCGGCTGATGTTCATCGCTGGGCAAGCTCCTGGAGCTAATCTCTGCCGTCTTGGTCAGGAAGCCCCTGATCTTTTTCAGCATCACGGCTTCATCAATTTCAAGACTCCAGAGGCGGCCAGGGCTTTTGCGGCCGCGTGGCATCGCTCCAGGCGCCTCGGCATGGAGGACGAGACTGGCCAAGTGGTCCCCCTCAACGTCTCCAACGCTTCTCTGCAGGGCCTCGAGGCAAACCTGCGCAAGTGGACTGGCGCGCGGGTGACTCGCATCAAGAATCCAGAGTTCTTGCCTTTCGTCCTCAGGGACGCAGAGCCACAGCCGCGTGCCTGCGTGCTGGAGACCCCAGGTTCTGCCGCCATCGATGCGGCGAGGCCTCGCTGAGACCACAGGGCTTCTGCCAATTGTACCTCGGATGTGTCATAGAATTGGTATTGGGCTTGGGCCCAAATTGCTTTTTACAGAGCTGGCCACGGGATATCCACAATTACGCCCGGTTTGGGCCACGTCGGTCTCACCGCCCAGCCTCCGACAGGCGCGCTGGTGCGTCGCAGTTGAGCGCGTTAGTGGCTCTCCGCTGTCGCGACCCATAGAAACGTATGTAGCTTGCGCTGGGACTCCTTTTCCTGAGGAGAAGAGGGAGGAGGGAGGCTGGGACGGGCCCGAACGACGAACCTGAGCACGGCAATGGTGTGGAGATGTGTTCCTAGAGCGGCACATGCGCCCCTGACAAGAAGGATCATGTAAGTCGCCAGCGCCGAGGCGAGAGCAGGATCCCAGAGTGATTTGTAAGGCTGTCTCAGGCGGGAACGCCATGCCTGAATATTTGTCGAGGCTATCGAGGAGGACGACGACGACGACAATGAAACCGGCGACGTGCGGGCCGATTAGGAGCACGATCTTGGAGCCACCCCGGCTCTAAAAGTGTTGTGTTGGGGACACTGTGGTCTGGCTCTGCTTTTCTGTGTGCGTGCTGGGTGGATGGGGAGCTCCCTCGCCCGGAGCTCCCGCGCCCTCAGCATCGCGCGCCGCATTCTCCTTGGGCGAGCATGCAACCTGCGAGCCCCTGCTCTCGCTCGAGGGCTCCGTGCCCGCCAGGGCTCGGGGAATCTTCCTCGTCCTCCTGCAGCGCGTCAGCCTGCTGCAACCCTGGGCTGCTCAGCCCTGGCGACCGCTTGTCGCGCACCTCTGGGGGCTGTTTCTGACCCCTCTCCTGGCAGCCCTCTCTGGAGGAGGAGGAGGAGGAGGAGGAGGAGGAGGAGGAGGAGGAGGAGGAGGGAGGAGGAGGGAGGAGGAGGGAGGGGGAGGAGGAGGAGGAGGAGGAGGAGGAGGAGGAGGACGAGGAGGAGGAGGAGGATCAGGAGTAGGAGGACGACGATGGTTCGGACGACGCGCTGGTGCGTCACAGTTTGCCGCGTTAGGGGCTATCTGCTGCCGCGGCCCACGTAGACGTACATACTTTTCGCTGGGTCTCTTCCTCTCGAGCAGGTCATTTCGTATATCTCATTCGTAGACATATCATCCTCTGTTTTTGTTTGCTTCTACCCCATCGTGCCGTGTGTCCGTCTCCTCTCTGCCTGCTGATACAACAACGCGCTGGTTCGCGCATCATACCAGCAGTTTTTGCAGCGCTCACTCAAGCCGCGCGCCTTAAATGCATATGTCTTGAACGCGAGCGAGATGTCAGAGCCGCTCGTTGCTGGGCGCCACAAGCCAAGACTTGCTTCGGGATTGTCTCGAGGTGTGTGGGGGCTGGCGGAGGGGGGTCGCGGCGCCTTTTTTCTGCGGTATGAATGGGGAGGGAGTTCCCTCGAAAGGAGCTCCCTCGCCTGCAGCACCGTGCACCGCCTTGCCCTGGGCAAGTACTCAAGCTGCGCTGCTTGGGGAACCTGCTCTCCCTCGAGGGCTTGGGGAACCGAGCGCATGGTCTCCCTCGAGAGCTCGGGGATCACTTTTTTTTTCGTTTTGGCGGGTGAATTGCTTCACCCTGCGTGCACGAACGCGAGCGTGGCGACGAGCGACGAGGGTGGGGAGTGGCTGGGAGGATTCGGAGGGCGCGCGACCAGTATTCGGAGCCACCCTGGCTCTCAAGCATGTCGTGCTGGGAACGCTGTGCCCTGGCACGGAGACGCCCCTCACACACGCGGACAGGGCCGGCGGATCTGCTGCGTGCGTGCTGGGTGGAGCGGGGGCTCCTTCGCCTGGAGCTCCGGGGCCCGCAGCAGCGTGCGCCGCCCTGAGAACTCCCGTGGACGCCACAGCAGGAGCCCGCCATCCCGGCCCGGCCGGCGAGCGCGCCTCGCCGCGCCTCGCGAGGGCCTGGCCCCGCCTCGCCCGCTGCCTCGGCCGCTCCCCTCCCTCCGCCTCGCCCGCTGCCCAGAGGATCTATGGGCATCCTCCTCCTCCTCCTCCTCCTCCTCCTCCTCCTTCCTCCTCCTCCTCCTCCTCCTTCCTCCTCCTCCTCCTCCTCCTCCTCCTCCTCCTCCTCCTTCCATCCTCCCTCCCTCCTCCTCCTTCCCCCATCCTCCTCCTCCTCCTTCCTCCTCCTCCTCCTCCTCCTCCTCCTCCTCCTTTCCCCTTTCTCCTTCCTGCGGCCCAGCTGGAGCTGGGCCCGTCCGGCCGCCGCCGCCCAGCGGCCGGGCAGGGTCAGAAGGTGGTCGCGGGCCAGCTGCGCCGGCGCCTCTTCTGTCGAGGCCTGGGGCGTCTGCCCCTGCGCCCTCACTCTCCCGCCCGCCGGCCAGGACACGGTCCACGGGTATTAGGTACCCACGCGGCCGCTGCGGTTTCTGCAGTCTCTGTCTGAGCTGCCCTGTCACACCCACCGCGCACGGCGGCTGCCCTTTTTGCGGAGGCACTCCCCAGGATCCTGAGCGTGAGGCTCTTGTACCCTGAGTGCGAGGCCTCCGCCCCCGCTTCCCCTCCCCGCACCTCCCATCCGTCCTCCTCGTCCTCCTCGTCCTCCTCCTCCTCCTCCTCCCTCCTCTCCTCCTCCCCTCCTCCTCCTCCTCCTCCTCCTCCTCCTCCTCCTCCTCCTCCTCCTCCTCCTCCTCCTCCTCCTCCTCCTCCTTCCTCCTCCCCCAAGAAGCCCAGGGTGCAGCTTCTCCCGTTCGTCCCCCTGGCCCAGCTCCTGGCAGATTTAGCCCGGGAGCAGCAGCAGCAGGAGAGGGAGGAGGGCATGTAGGGCTGTAGTGGGGAGCGTGCGCGGGAGGGAGTGACCCCCCCCGCGCGCGGCCCGATCTCGTCAACCAAATCTCCCAGGCGCGCTCCGCGCCTCCGCGCCGCCGCGCGATTGCAGCCAAGACGGCAGAACCCCCTTTCAGAATGAGTCCTCCTCCTCCTCCTCCTCCTCCTCCTCCTCCTCCTCCTCCTCCTCCTCCCTGGCCAGCTGGAGCAGAGAGGCGTCCCCATCTCATCACATGTGAAGGGACGAACTTTTTAATACATTTTGTCTTCCAAGGGCGTCCGCGTCGTCGCAGCGCTGTTAGCAGGGATTTTTTCCCTTGCCACGTGCTTGCGCATGGCTCCCCTGCCCCCTTGCTGCACAGCTTCGAGCAGAGGAAATGTGCACCTTGCTGCAAAGCTTCGAGCAGAGACATGTGCGTTCGACCATGTACAGGATCAGCAAACAAAAGTTGTCTGGAAGATGGCTGAAGAGCGCATTGAGATGGCCTCTAGACGGCACACGAACGCTCGAAGACAGCCGAAGACTGTTCCTAGACGGCCACAAAGGCCCTCGCCAGAAGGCCCCGCAAGGGTAAAAATCAAGCATGTCCTATGGAAAACGTATGTTTCCGGGATATTCGTTTTCTCAGTCCTAACAGCGGGCAAAATGGGCCCAGACATCCCAAGAGGTCCCCAAGAGGGCCTCAAGATGGCCTCAAGAGAGCTTCAAGCAGCACCAGAGAGCTCCAAGAGAGTCCCCAGGGGCCCCGAGGGGGCAACCGGAGGATCCTTACCTGGTCGGAGAGGGCCCCAAGAGGGCCTCAAGACGGGTTCAGCTCCCCATGACGGGCCAAGAGGGACCTGGAACTGTCGAAATGGGCCCTCGGACGGGCCAAAAAAGGCCTTACAGGACACCCTCAAGACGGTCCAAGAGGCCGCCGAGAATGCCCCCCAAGGGCAAAACTGAAGCATTTCCGATGGAATAGCGCATACTTCCAGGATGCTCGCTTTTTCAATCCTGACCGCGGCCACGACGGCAAAGGCTCCCCAAATCGGCCCCAGACGGCCCAAGAGGGCCCCAAGACGGCCTGAAGAGAGTTTCAAGCAGCACGCGAGAGCTCCAAGACGACCCAAGAGAGTTTCCAGGGGGCCCGAGGGGGCCACCGGAGGATCCCTACATGGTCGGAGAGGACCCCAAGAGGGCCCCAAGACGGGCTCAGCTCCCTATGACGGGCCAAAAGGGACCCGGGACGGCCGAAATGGGCCCCTAGACGGGCCAAAAGGACCCCAAAAGGCTCCCTCAAGACGGTCCAAGAGACCGCCGAGAAGGCCTCCCAAAGGCAGAAGTCAAGCATATCCGACGGACAAAACGCATATTTCCGGGATATTCGCTTTTCAGTCTTACTAGCGGCCACGACGGCCCCAAAGGCACCCAAAATCGGCTCACGGCCCAAGATGCCCCCAAGAGGGCGCCAAGACGGCCTGAAGAGAGTTTCAAGCAGCACGCGAGAGCTCCAAGACGACCCAAGAGAGTTTCCAGGGGGCCCGATGGGGGGCCACCGGAGGATCCCTACATGGTCGGAGAGGGCCCCAAGAGGGCCCCAAGACGGGCTCAGCTCCCCATGACGGACCAAGAGGGACCCACGCGGTACAAATTCGCAGCGAGAGAAGGGTTCGCCCTTCATTCCGTTGTAAACTTCAACGATGGCGATGTCGAGAACATGCTGACTTTAGTTTCTTTTATGTAGTAGTGGCAGGAAACCATGGGGGCCAGCCGTGTAGAGTGCACCGGAATGGTAGTTTGGTCTTCGCGCGTCCACCATGGACACCCGCGACGTGGGGAGGGGGACAGCCGGCCCAAGAGGCACCCAGGACCGCCCAAGCCGGCCGCAGAGAGCGCCAACAGAGGCCCCGCGGGGGGAATTCGAACGCATTTTTCGAGGCCTCCGCCCTAAGAGGACCCCGACGATCGCCAGCATGCCCCCAGGATGCCCCAAGACGGCTCCAAGAGGACACTCAAGAGAACCCGAGAGGGCCCCAAGACGGCCCAAGAGGGCCCCAAGACGTCCCAAGAGGAACCCAGGACCGCCCAAGAAGGTCCCAAGAGGGGCTCGTGGGGGGTGGAATGCTAGCCCATATTTCGAGGCCTCGGCCCCACGATGGCCCCGAAGTTCGCCAGCAGGCCCCCGAGGACCCCCCCGAGCGAACCCAAGAGGGCCACGAGAGGCCTCGAAGAGGTCCCGAAAAGCGTCCCACGAGGCTTCACCATTGTTTCCAACAGGCTGCCCAGAGGTTTCCCCAGAGACGCGAACAGGCATTCACGAAGTCTCACACCAACAACCCAGGCTCGGTGGCAGGATGTGCAGAAGGCCACCAGGAGGGGCACACGTGGTCGAGGGGCACGGATGCACGTCCTCTTTGTGTATTCCTCCTGCAGTTCGTCTTCAAGGACTCCACTTCTCCTTCTGCTCCTGCCCCTCCTTCCCGTTCTGCCCTCGTCTTCGCCGCCGTCATGCTCCTGGACTCTTCTTCCCTTCCTCGACCTCCAAACCGCCCCCCTCGTTTTCTTCGTCTTCCTCCTGGAGTCTCCTGTGCTCAGGCGAGGGCTCTTCACGTGTTTCCGCAGCGCATCCGCGCTAAAGTCATATCCGCAACCGTCGCCCAGCCCTCGGCATCTCACTGCGAGCTGGGATTCAGGAGAACCTGAGCGCGCGAAGCGCGCGCGGTGGTTCTAGTGTGTATATATATATATATAGATATCTAGATCAGCATACATGCATGCATGTACATATGTATGCATGCATGTATGTATGGATGTGTTATCATACGCACCTCTCCGAGGGAGTAAAGCTCAGAGGCGATTCATTGAAACCGTGTTTTTGCTTCTGACCGTTTCGCTCGGGACATCCTCAACAGTCCGAACACCGGACGCACCCCTCAAGCAGATTGCGACGCCAGGGTCCAAACACACGTAGGAAATCTCATACTTTACCATAGCGCCTTCAGCAACACAATGGATTTCAATGGTTTTACCCTCATCGAATACAGCCGTTTCTCGTGAGACGCCCCCCCGTTTTGAAATCCTACGTAGTCAAAGTTGTCCTCATATACTTCACACCTCAGTTGTGCTCGAGACATCCTCCAAGCATTGGCTTCGGAGCGTCTTTTCAACTGCAGCCGCAAGGTGTGGAGCACCCTCCTGCGCCACACACATCGCAAGGTGTGGCAATCCTACCTGCGCTCGACTGCGATCCCGCTGTTGCACCTCCTTCCCAACAGCCCCCTGGTGATCCTCATTATCATCCTTCTCGCCTTTTCCCTCTGCTTCTCCATCTCCTTCCTCCTCTTCATCGGATCCGACTTTACATTCCTCGTCTTGTCGATGTTGTGTGGTGCTTGCGTGCTGCAGTCTTCATTTTTGTATTAGCCCGGGCACACGTGACAGTCGAGGATATATATATATATATATATATTTTTATATATATATGTGTGTATATGTATATATGTATAGATGCTCGCGCATGTATTCATGTATGCATGTATGTATGTAGGTATGTATGTTTGCTTGTTTGCATGCGTGCATGTATCTATGCATGTCTATATACATGTATGCATCCATGTATATGTACATACCCATCGGCATAGCTATGTATGTAGTTGTAGTTGTATGTATGTGCGTCCACTCACACACGTCTATATATGTGTAGTTATAGGCATACGTATCGGTACATGCAAACATGCATGTATCGGCTGGTTGGTATTAAACGCGCTCACATATACATGTGTGTGTCGATACATACATATACATATATAATCTGTTTTATCCCCTCCTTTTCTTTCTCCTCCTCTTCCTTCTCTTCCTGCCTCTACTCCTGCTTCTCCTTGCCCTCCTCACTCCCCCTCTTCTTTTCCCTTCTATTTTTCTTCTGCCTTCCCTTCCCCTGTCCCCATTCTCCGCCTCGTCCGTCCGCCCGCGCGGGGGAGGGAGCACCGTGGGGAAGCATAGCAGGTACACTCAGGAGGGTCACGGGGTACACTTTCACGACTTCTCCTGGGCCATGCACGCCGGCCTGAAGGGTTGGGAGTTGCAGCAGGTCATGAAGCTTAAGGCCGCCGCTCCCTGCTGGCAGCCTGCGATACCGTTGCTCAGCCCAGACGAAGAGGAGGAGTAGGAGTAGGAGTAGGAGTAGGGGTAGGAGGAGGAGGAGGAGGAGGAGGATGAGGAGGAGGAGGGGGAGGAGGAGAAAGGGAAGAGGAAACAGAGGATGAAGCGGGGAGGGGAGTGGGGGAGGGGGAGGAGGACAAGCTAGGTGCGCTCGCGTCATATCTGACATCCTACCCCTCCCTCCCATCCCTTACCATGGCGCAGATCCCCTCTCTACTCGCACAGTCGGATGTCGAGCAGGGCAATGATCCCGAAAGGGTACGCGATGCATTGTAGAGCACGGCATGGCATGGCGTAGACGAGCACCGCGAAGCGTAGTATCAACCTAGCATTGCATTAGGAGTAGGTGTAGGAGGTCTGCCGATCGAGGCTGCTATGCTGGTCGACGCGGAGTTCTACGTGGTCTTGGACGCGAAGAACGCCTTCATCCGCGATGTGCAGCCAGATACCTTCCTGAGCCCCTGCAACCAAGGCCTGGGCCTTCCGCTCCCCCTGCTCCTCTGCCCCTCCGCGTGTCCCTTCCGTTTCTCCCCTCCCTCTGCCCCTTTCCTTTTCCGCTTGTCCCTCCTCCCCCTCCCCGCTTCTGTCTCTGGTGCCCGGAGGCCGCGGGATGTTCCTGGAGAAAGGTCACAAAACGCCGAAAAGTGGCCCTCCATACTCGACCTTCCTCCCTCTTATTCTCCCCCCAAAGCCTTCTTCCCCTTTTCCATTGCGCCGCACACGATGGGTCAGATCCTGCAACTGCCATCTTGGCATCAAGGTCCTCCAGGACGCCCGAGTCGCTGGACAGAAGAGGATCCAGCGCAATGGGAAATGATGGGTCAGAGGGGCAGGATGGCAGATGTGGCGCGAGCGCACCTGGCTTGCCCTCTCCCCCTCTCCCTCCGGCCACGTGGACTGCGGCGGCCAGGCCATTCCCAGGGAAATCCTCCCCCTCCGCCTCGCGCCCCCCCTCGCCCTCCCAGTCCCCGCCAACTTTCAAGGCCTCCGCAGAGGAGGAGAAGTAGAGGATGCATCCAGAGGAGGAGGAGGAGGAGGAGGAGGAGGAGGAGGAGGAGGAGGAGGAGGAGGAGGAGGAGGAGGAGGAGGAGGAGGAGGAGGAGGAGGAGGAGGAGGAGGAGGAGGAGGAGGAGGAGGAGGCAGGGGAGGAGGACAGCTGTCGCTGTCCCCCCCTCTTGACCCCTCTCTCCCCCCTCCTCCAAGCGGGTGGGGGTGGGAGCGGGGTGGCAGGGGCCCGGACCCCCGACGTCAGAGAAGCCGCGGACGTCGCTTTGAGCAAACAGCTACACACATTTCGTGCTCTTCCTCCTCCTCCTCCTCCTCCTCCTGCCTTCTCTTCTCCTCCTCCTCCTCCTCCTCCTCCTCCTCCTCCTCCTCCTCCTCCTCCTCCTCCTCCTCCTTCTCTTCTTCCTCCTCCCAGAACTCCATTTCCGGGCCACATTCTGAATGCCCGGAGCCAACTTCAGGCCACTTCGTGTTCTTCGAGTTCCCCAAACTCCATTCCCGGGCCACATTTTGAATGCCCGGAGCCAACTGTAGGCCGCTTCGTGCTCTTCGAGTTCCCAGCAGTTTTTTCCTTGGCATGATTTTGAATGCCCGGAGCCAACTGTAGGCCACTTCGTGGTCTTCGAGCTCCCAGAACTCCATTCCTGGGCATGATTTTGAATGCCCGGAGCCAACTGTAGGCCACTTCGTGGTCTTCGAGTTCCCAGAACTCCATTCCTGGGCATGATTTTGAATGCCCGGAGCCAACTGTAGGCCACTTCGTGTTCTTCGAGTTCCCAGAACTCCATTCCCGGGCCACATTTTGAATGCTGAGGCAGGCTGGCTGAGGCTGAGGCAGGCTGAGGCTGAGGCAGGCTGAGGCTGAGGCCGAGGCTGAAGGCAGACTGAGGCTGAGGCTGAAGCAGGCTGAGGCTGAGGCTGAGGCAGGCTGAGGCTGAGGCTGAGGCAGGCTGATGCTGAGGCAGGCTGAGGCTGAGGCTGAGGCTGATGCAGGCTGAGGCTGAGGCAGGCTGAGGCTGAGGCCGAGGCTGAAGGCAGAGGCTGAAGGCAGACTGAGGCTGAGGCTGAAGCAGGCTGAGGCTGAGGCTGAGGCAGGCTGAGGCTGAGGCTGAGGCAGGCTGATGCTGAGGCAGGCTGAGGCTGAGGCTGAGGCTGATGCAGGCTGAGGCTGAGGCAGGCTGAGGCTGAGGCCGAGGCTGAAGGCAGACTGAGGCTGAGGCTGAAGCAGGCTGAGGCTGAGGCTGAGGCAGGCTGAGGCTGAGGCTGAGGCAGGCTGAGGCTGAGGCAGGCTGGCTGAGGCTGATGCAGGCTGAGGCTGAGGCAGGCTGAGGCTGAGGCCGAGGCTGAAGGCAGACTGCGGCTGAGGCTGAAGCTGAGGCTGAGGCAGGCTGAGGCTGAGGCTGAGGCAGGCTGAAGGCAGGCTGAGGCTGAGGCTGAGGCAGGCTGAGGCTGAGGCAGGCTGAGGCTGAGGCCGAGGCTGAAGGCAGACTGAGGCTGAGGCTGAAGCAGGCAGGCTGAGGCTGAGGCAGGCTGAGGCTGAGGCTGAGGCAGGCTGATGCTGAGGCAGGCTGAGGCTGAGGCTGAGGCTGATGCAGGCTGAGGCTGAGGCAGGCTGAGGCTGAGGCCGAGGCTGAAGGCAGACTGAGGCTGAGGCTGAAGCAGGCTGAGGCTGAGGCTGAGGCAGGCTGAGGCTGAGGCTGAGGCAGGCTGATTCTGAAGCAGGCTGAGGCTGAGGCTGTGACTGCGACTGCCGTTGCCACTGCGACTGTCATCGCGAATGCGACTGCGACTGCGAGAACAGCAGAATTCTACAACTGGATTCTCATCTGAATCTGAAGGGGAATGCTTCCAGATATGCTCCTACACATCGCTGTTAGGTTGCTTTGCCGGGATAATTTCATAACGTCGACCCTCAGAGGATTTGACTCATTCCTCTGGACCGGCATTTCATCCTGAGCCGCTTTTTTACGGTCCCGAGGGCCAGCAAGGGCCTCCGGAGGCCGAACATATTCCAACACATCGCCCGCCATGATTTCTTCATTACCCTCCCACGGCCTCCCTGCGGGGGAGGGGGAGGAGGAGGAGGAGGAGGAGGAGGAGGAGGAGGAGGAGGGAGGAGGAGGAGGAGGAGGAGGAGGAGGAGGAGGAGGAGGAGGAGGAGGAGGAGGAGGAGGAGGGAGGAGGAGGAGGAGGAGGAGGAGGGGAGGAGGAGGAGGAGGAGGAGGAGAGGAGGAGGAGGAGGAGGAGGAGGAGGAGGAGGAGGAGGAGGAGGAGGAGGAGGAGGAGGAGGAGGAGGAGAGGAGGAGGAGGAGGATGGGTGGGGGGCGCTCCCCAGCGCACAGGGGGCCGGGCCTGGTCCCGGGCATGCGGGCGGCAGCCCTCCAGGGCCAAACCTTTGCGGGCCGGCACGCTCGCCAGGGTATCGGGGCCCGCTGGCCGCAGCTCTGCGGGAGCACGCCGAGCTCCTCGCTTGGACTGGTTCGCACTGCAGAGCTCTCGGGACCGACGTGGGGCCAAGCTGGAGGCCGCCAGCCAACAAGGAGCCAGGTCTTCAACAGTGGGCTGGGCCCTAGCCGCTCTTGTCCAGGGGGCTGGCGAGGTGGCAGTATCCTTCCACCCTCCTAGGACTTCAGTCCTTCGGTGTGTGTGTGTGTGTGTGTGTTTGTGTGTGTGTGTGTGTGTGCGTGAGAGTGCGCGTGTGTGTGTGTGTGTGTGTGTGTGTGTGTGTGTGCGTGTGTGCGTGAGTGTGTGTGTGTGTGTGTTGTGTGTGTGTGTGTGTGTGTGTGTGTGTGTGTGTTGTGTTTGTGTGTTTGAGAGCGTGAATGTGTGCGTGAGTGTGTGTGTGTGTGTGTGTGTGTTACGGGTGTGCGTTTTCATAGAGGGCGCCCCCGAAGGCGGAGTGTGCCTTTCCTGGTCGGAGCGCTTTCGGTCGTTCGCTGGGGGGGGAAGAGGGAGGGAGGGAGGGAGGAGGCATGAGGAGGGAGGCAGGGAGGAAGGAGGGCAGGGTGGACGAGGGAGGAGGGAGGACGGAGGAGGGAGGAGGGATGGGGGAGAGCACGCAAACCAACTGAACTCCGCAGCCAGCCGTAATTCACGAGGGAGCCACGAAAATACAGTCAACCCGCATAGTGAGGACGGGCAACCTTCCCAAGGGTACCCTTGCATCCTTACCTTCTCGGCCCATCCTTGGCCGCTTTCGTTGGCCGCGGCCCGATCGAAAAACTTCGAAATGGGCTTCCAAGGCCCTTGCACCCTTATCGCGCATCCTTACTGCACGGGTTGACTGTAATTGGACGGCGGCCCCAGCCGCTTGAAGGCTCCGCTCAAGGGAGACCCCGCCGCAGGAGGCGCCTTGCCCCGCCGCGCCGCCGCCGCCCGCGCCCGTGCCAGGCGGCGGGGCGGGAAGTGCGCGACAAAAAATATCGGTGTTTGCGTGCCAGGGCATTTTCTTTTGCGGAGCTGGGCGCCCTGGCGCGGACAGCCGAACGACCCGTGCAGCGGGACGCCCTGGCAACACCGTCGCCGCCGCAAAAAATGCCCGTTTCATGCTGGCGCTGCGCAAGGGCGGCAATCGCGCCCCCGAGGAGAGTCCGTGATGCACGGGCCCCCGGGCTTCGGGCTGCTTGCGGCTGGGGTCACATGGCGTCTGCGCACCGGCCCGGCGGGCGCGCGGAGCCCCAAATGGCAGCCTGGGGAGGGGGGAGGAGGGAGGAGGAAACGAGGGCGGAGGAGGGGGAGGAGGAGAAGGACGAACCATGGTTGCGATGCAGCTCGATACCATGGTGATACGGAGATGTTAGCCAGCGTGGGCCCAAACCATCGTGTTCACAGTGTGCGTTACATCGCTATCTGTTGTGCAATCCATGTGGGGCAATCTGTGTATTGCAATCTAGGTTGTGCAACCTCAGTTGTGCAAGATTTTTGGCGCAACCAAATTGATGCAATACATGTGGTGCAATCTGTTTAATGTGATACAGGTTGTGTACCATGTGGGGCAATCTGGCCGGCGCAATCTAGGTTGTGCAATACATGTTGTGAAATCTAGGCTGTATGAACCATGTGGTGCATGTCGAGCATTATAGGTTGTGCAATCTATGTGGTGTAGCATACGCTGAGCAGTATATGTGGTGCAACATATGTTGTGCAATAGCGGTGGTGCAATCAAGGTGGTGCAGCACATGAGGTGCAATTATTTTCTGTTCGCAAGGAGTTGTCCAATCCACTACTCGCCCAATCATCCCACCCATCCGCTCGCATTGGTTAGCAAAACCCATACGGCGGCGATTGCGATGAGTGCTTGGAGTTGAGTGTTTTTTTGCTGCGGCCGCGCTGGCCCGCGCATGCTCGAGTGCGCAAAGGTCCGTTAGTTTGGCGCGACCGACGCGGCTGCGGTGGCGCTGACCGTTAGGCATTTCCCAGCGGGCACTTCAGTGCGGATCGGCGACTTGGGCGGGCGCGGTATCATGG